ATGGATTTTGTTCAAACTTGGTATATATACATTAGACATTATGTGACCTTGATGCAAATAATTTTGTTTTTCAGATTAGATTCAAAATGGCCGACTGGCGGCCATTTTGTTTCAATGAATGTGGTTCTCGTGTCATATGTCTGACTTGCTTTTATGGATTATGTTCAAATTCATTATACATAATGTCATAGACAGATATATTGGTTTGACGATCCTATTCAAAATGGTCGAATGGTGGCCATTTTTGTGCTAAAAAATCATCAAATCTCATGCATTTCTTGCATTTATGGATGGACTTTGTTGATGTACGTCATTTTATTTTTCAGATTGGATTCAAAATGGCTGACTAGTGGCCATTTTGTTTTAATGATTAGGTTCTAGAGCCATATCTCATAAATGCTTTGACTGATATTCAAATTTTATATATTCGTTATACATCATTTTATATATATATGTATTCTAATTGGCTGATTTTGAATGCTGTTCCAGAGCAATATTTCTCAATATGGACAAGTACTGATGATCAGATACAAATGTCAATCATTTTAATGTTAAAAAATCATATTCCTGACATGGTTATATTCCAGCTATATTACTATAAACAAAACTATATGTCTTAAATTTGATAACTAACAGGGATTGTGCCATGCATGGCTTGTTTTTCAAAGTTTTCAATGTGTTTAACATTGTATTTCTGTCAAAATTAGAACATGTCATTTGGCAGAACAACATGCCATTCTTATAATGCAAGATTTGCATAGTATATTCCTATGTACATTTCAAACAGGCTGAACAACTAACTATATTGTTTCTTTCAAGTTCTTTCTACTTAGTATCTATGACAATATACATTTATTAGTCCCCGTTCGGACGCAGTCCGAAAACGGGGACTTATGGGTTGCCCTGTGTGCGTCCGTCTGTCCGTCCGTCCGTGCGTCCGTCCGTGATCACCTGTATCTCGAACATGCATGGACCGATTAAGTTCAAACTTCACTCATACATCACACATTATATGGGACATATGCACATGCATTTTTTTCATGATCCAATTAACGATAGCCGAATAGCGGCCATTTTAAGGCCGAAAATGCATCAAAA